CGCAAAATATTACAGAACAGTGACCTTCCTGACAGAAATACCGACGAAAAGTGAAAGACAAATGGGACTGGGGTTGTAGACAACAATCGTGGCTGAAAGTGAAAGATAAGTCTGACCCCGAGCTTGGGATACCGGGATGCGGCTAGATACTCAACGAGTCCGACGGCGCTGACCCCGAACAACCCGGTTTGCTGATGACTGCCGCGTCGGAACGGGACAGCCGAGCTATAAACAGACAAGAGGGCGGTTAAAAAAAGGATCCTTGAGTCGGCATCGTCGGAGCACCCCACATAACTCTCTCAACCTTCTAAAACGATTTGAACTGGTGTAACGACCAATCTATAAAATATTCTTTTATCATTAGCAGAACAAATACATCAAGGGCCCATAAAGATGGTCAAAACTTCTGCGGGGCCGGGCACTGAGCGGTTTTGCAGCCTCGGCGGGAAGACTGGTGGCGTCGGCCGTAATTCGTGAGTTAACAAGGGACAAGGCCCGGGCCGGCTGGGCCCGTCAGCTTGCGTTTTTACCTTCCTTCGTTTGAAGTTTTTTCCTTGCTTGCTGGTACAACGTATGAACCCGGCAGACCTTCAGAACTCCCTTCCGTGTCCCCGCAGTCTCCCTCTGTTATTCTAACTAATTAGAAACCGTTGACGTTCAGGCTGCCGCTTTTTTTTCTGCAGCGGCCCACCAATTGGTCTCTACAGGGCCGCTAATGAGAAACACACATGCCACTCGATGGGGCCTGGGGGCCTCGCGGGGCCGGGCCAACTGAAGCCAAGAAACATGCTTCGCAGTGCATTCTTCTCTCCGTCTCCCCCTCTTTTCGTATCCTTTCAGAATATCCCCCCCCCCTATTCTTATAGTTGTACAAGAGAGAACCAACTTCTCGACATGCCCGGGGTATAAATTGGTCGCATGACTGGGCTCGTTGGGCGAAAAATCTGACAATTTCCGAAGCAATCCGGATCACCTGCACCTAGCTCTCTCTCTCCCCTCTGTTTTTTTTCCCTGGCCAATAGAGTGCACCTGTAGTGGCCGACGGGCTTTTGATCCCAGGGTCCCGCGTGGTAACACTCTCGGGGCTTGGCCCAGCCGGGCTTGGGACCGCGGAGCATGCATGCGGGCGACTCAAGCCTCTCGATACCACCTCGCATTTTGCGCCGGTGCTCTGCTCGCGACGACAGACGGCCCAATTACTGTCGCATTTGTCTGGCGTGTTTACACAGTGATTACGCCAATAAGTTAAACAAACATGGCACGCAGCGGGCCTGTAACGCTTTCACCGTAACATACGATATCTATTGACAGACACAGTCAAATCTGATCGCGCCGCGTCCAGAGCTCTCCATCGGCCGCTGACTACCTGAAAATGTCAGCCTCCTTGTCTTGTAAGTTCAGCCAGACATCAAGAGAGCTGACCAAAACCTGCAACTATTTTTGCGTGCAGTAAAAAAAAAAAAAAAACGCCCGCAGTTATTTGGCCAAGCCCGCTGTAACGAGTTTGCAGACGCCATTGTTTTGAAAGAACCACCCTAGAGTATCACATGCAACTTGTATTTCTCTAGGGGTTTCACTGACTTCATTGTTAATGAAACTGAACACCGTTCAGAGAATCAGCAGTGTCTGCTTTCCTTAAGTTTTTGCCCCCAAGTGTGTGTGCCTTCCAACAAGTGTTGTGGGTCTGAGTAGTTCCTTGCACCAACCTGAAGTCTGGGCGCTGGTGTCACACCGATTCTCTTCGCTAGTGAAACACGGCTCTGGTGACACATAAAATTATGCAGTACTTCCATTTTATGTGTTGTGGTCGTTCATACGGAGGCTTGCATGGGACACAAAGTTTCATAATAATATTAAGAATAAGCGTTTCGATTAAGTGTCAGTGAATATCTTTACATGCTACATAAAATGCGGTGCTTGAGATGGAAAGTGAAATATTACGTGGGAAAACTTTTCATCAGTTATCTCGACAAACAAAATAATATCCTTTGAGAAAATCGTCATTGCGATGGATATTCAGCATTAAGAAAATTGTGGTTATTAGGCCTTGACATAAATTCTTTGACTGTGTTTGAACTTAATCAGCGAGGGACTGGTTTATAATTTCTCTACTTCTCGAATCGAGTAAGACAGTAGTGGAGATGGAGAGATGCTTGAAGAGGAATCTCTCCCGAGCTGAAGTGCACCCCCAATCGGCGAAAGAAAGACAGATGGATACAAGCGGGTTCTTGTACGCGTTCTGCGTGTACGCAGAGAACATACATGCCAGAATAAATTAGGTACGCGTACTCAGCGTGCTCCGCGTCAAACGCGCATATACTTGCGCGCCTCATGGCGCGTCTATGCGGTGAGTACTAAAAAAACGCGCCCCTTTTGTTCCGCTCGGAGCGGATAAGTTGAGGAACTAATGATGAAAACATATATCAGTTTGAAGTTCTTCGTCCTCGGCTTTCCACAAGGATGGTCTGGGATAAGTGTATAGATATTACCGAGGACACAACTCACTTTCCCGTTCCTGGTCACCAACTTTCCACCATTCGCTTACCCCGGACGATCAGAAGTTACTGTCCAGCGCGGTAGAGAATTTCCAGCTCTCAGGACCGGTTTGGTCATGTGACATCATATTTCTTGTCTTGCTTTTCCAGGCCCAAACTGACTAAACAAGTCTTCTTCCACTGCATAAGCATACTTCAAGTTTCTGGCATCTGTTATAAGCGCTCAGTGAAGTTGGGCCATCTCGCGCTTTTCCCACCCGCCGCATGTTCGCTCACTCATTTTATCCGACTGTTTTATGGAGTTCCACATTCACATTGGCAGTTTGAGCTGTTATATCCAAAGGAAACGCACACAAATCGCTGAATCCCCTACATGATCGTCACACGTCACTGCTGCACTCTGCATTTTGATTTCAAGGTTTTGAGATGGTGACAAGTGTTGTGCGGCGTGACTAATGCAGGGTACTAGGTCTATTCCGGATCTGAGATGAGACAGTCTGTCCTAAATGGGGGTCGCAAGCGGATTGCACCTGCACATAAAAATACAGCGCAATCCATACAAATAATGGGACTGCATAGTTACGAAATACCTTTCTCGTAGTGCTAAATGTATGTAAACACTAAATATTATCTCAAATTCTGAACACAAGATCCTGGGTTTTTTTTCAAGAAAACTGGATTTCCACGTTCTCCTGCTGCGATTGTTCGGACGATCGATCACAGCGCAAACAACACCCTTTGAATACTACATCCACCAACGGGTGTCAAACAGTAATGGACCTGTTGCATGCGTTGCTCAGGCACACTGGAACGACATTTGGCTCATGTGTTTTTCGCACACATATTAGACGGAGTGCGTTTTAACTGTTGAAAACGAACTCCATTTTCCATGGTCTTCTTTATAATAACTAACCCAAAACAAATAGACTACAAATCCCCAATTTGTTTCCATTTCGTACAAATTACAGCGCAGGCGTACTGGGATAGTGTATTGATGTACTGTCTTCAGGCCTATACTCCATGCAATTGAGTGGAAACGTCGACCTTAAGCCAAGTGACCTGATTATCCGAGTCCAAGTCGAAGAAAGCTGTTTTCGGAGTTCGCATTGTGCGTGCCACTTGACACTGTCGTGTGCAAAATGCATGTGTATATACATTCTTGAATTTCTAAGGCCCTCTAGTCCGCACATCATTATAAGCCAGCGTCATGCTTCTATCTGTCATTATACTTGAGGCTTGTGTCGTTGGAGATGATTGTTACTCACTGGCATAAAATGTTGCAAGCGAAAAATGCCCAGGGCTATCGATCACCCTCCCGCTGTAACCAAAAAATAAGAAAGAAAGAAAGAATCGACACGCTGCTGTCCCAGCGCGGGCCGGGCACGGCTGGATGGTTGGACGAGGCACGCAAGGGTATCACGGGGACGTGTCTCTTTCCTTTCGGGACCAGGAATCAAACTCTGCCCATTGTCAACTGATTCCCTCTCGATACTATACTTGCCCCGGGGCGAAACGCACTCCACCACCGCTTTACGATTTTGTCTAAAAGTTCTCGTACCATTGTGCCACGGATCCGTCGCAGCGACGCCGACGACAAAGCGTGGAAAAAAGCCTCTCAAGAGGAAAGAAAATTACACACGAAACCCCCCAAAAGCCCAATATGCGTTTCATTGGACCATTAAACAATCTCTTGGATGGCATTGTTGTGTCATTTCAGAATTCCAACCAAACTTTTTTTTCGGAATTTATTTTTCTGTTCTGTTGTCAATATTGCCAGCACCTTGTCGGTGGACAGTCAAGCGGAGAGAAAGTCATCCCTTGAACAATGGACGGGGTTTTCCAAATTTGTCCGGCTACCCGTCGAGTATGTGCGGCGCCACGGCTTTTCACTTCGACTGAGGCGGCTCTACTTCCCACCATCGCCACTGGGCCGACAATCCCTGCATTGTCCGTGCCCACGAGGGATGAAAGACGGTGATATGTCAAACTCGTCGCTCTCTCCGCGGAACAGAAAAGAAAAAATGAAATCTCCGAGCCCCCGAAAGTACAACCCACAATAGTCCATTTACCGCCCTCCTCACCATTAAATAAACTTTGCTTAGAACTGTCTGCGCAATTGTTGTGCGCCGGTGTCATTGTTATCTCAGTAAATGTATTTTTTCTTCTTGTTGTTATTCAGAAGGACAAAATGACAGGCAGTTGAACGGACTTTCCCTACCCGACAGTTTCTTCAATCAAGCGGGGTCCCTCCTAAATAGGTCAAAATTAATGGGCATTGCGCACTGACGGTATCGGCCGTAGTAACCAGTGTCTCGCTTTGATGTATCATCGGCCGAAAAAAAAATCTGTCATAAGTTAAATTGTAAATACTACCCACGCGATAGGTGAACCCATTATTAATTTTGGTGACAACGTGGGTCCAGCGCTCAGCAGCTGCACGAGCTTGTCCGTGTACACAATATAAACACCATTACTGAAACAAACAAGCAAACCACAGCGAAGAAATTCCAGTTGTACCGACATAAACTTTTTTTTTATTAAGTCATTTAAACTCGCTTAGGTTGACGGCTATATCACTTGCCAAATATATAGATAAATACACACATTGTATGGTACTTATTTACAAATAACTTACACACTTAAATAGACACTGGCGTAGTTGAACGGCAACCTCGGCTATCTGCATTTTCGTATTTTGAGCGCTGACTGCTTTTAATCGCGTAACACGGGACACGAAACGAAATAACTCACTTTTGTGGAAGATTTTATGGAGAATAAATTTGCACGTAGAACAGGGTTTTAAAGATGCTGAAAGGTAACTACGATCGTTCACCACACGATCGTTACGTTTGGGACCTTCATGAAATGGTCTGCATTTTAATATCATTCCAGGTTTATTTGGGTTTTTTTCATGTATGATCTGATGCCGCAAAAGCAAGATACTTCAGTGGATGCATCGATTAATTCACGTTCAATATCCGTCAGAAATTCCAACAAAAAACAAGAATTGGGGATGCTGTATAATTACTGAGGGCAAAATAAGGAGCCTCGCTCTGGTTGTTTTTTTTTTTTCCAGGCCGCGACAAAGGCCTTACTAGTCTTGACTCAGGAAGTCACAGTGACGTAAAGAAATGCTGTGAAGTCATTCAGTGGTTCCTTTGGAGTCACTGATTGTTTGTGACACTGGGTCAATTATCAGTCAGTCTCATCATGGAGCTGTTAAACCGTGGTCTCATCCAGTGGACTTGCCACCTGTTTCGCAGCCAACACCATGAAGCAGTTTCTGCATACAAAACAAATAGTGGTGACATAGCAGATATGTAATAAATGCGAGTGTGCAATGCCCACTGAAAAGCCTTTGATAAGGCTACGCAATGGAAGTGGTCACTTTCATGTCCAAGTACAGATGGCGAGTGTACTTAAAATTGGTCATTTTGACCCCGGGAGTTTCCTGCATGCGTGCAATTTGTCATGACCCACAATGCAACGAGGTTCAAACGCACATCATTTTGTCATCCGGGTGATTTGTCGACACTTTAGAAAACCAATGGTTTTTATTCATGGTGTTTGAGGAAGATTCTGTGACATGCCCTCCAAAAAAACCCAAGGATTTTGCTTCTGCGTTCAATTTTTAATGGAATCCCTTTTCCCACGTTTTTACGTCCCAGCGAGACTGGAGCTCTTTGTAGGCCTACTTTGTAAGGTTGGTTAGCACAATATGCATATAATCAATGACAAGTTTGCATGATCACTATTCTTAACGAACACACAGAGAGACCTATAGGCGGGGGCAACGTCCGAGTCTTAAAGAAGGTGGGAGTGCAGAACATAGGAAACAAGATTAAGACCCTGAAATTTTTTGTGAAGAATTCTCGAACAGTTTGGACAACAGTTGAGCGTGGCTATTATCGCCATCATTATGCACAGTGCACAAAATGCCTTGGGACAAACGGAACAGCGACTGGCTTGGTGACCTCAATTTTTACTCTTTCAATTTATTTTTTCTTAAACTGCCCAGCGACAAGTAATGTCAGCTTGGTGGGAATTTTCTTATTAAATCTTTAATACTTTTGGCCATGTACGAGGGTATTATCCATCGTCAGTCTGTGCTTTCGTCACAGCTTTAAATTCTACTTAAAAAATAAAGGAAGTGGTAGGCCCCTTCCAAATTACGTGTACATGTAAGCCTACATGCACGCTCGTGCTTGGCTACGGCTCCACACCGATGGAGGTCCCAAGCTATGGCCTTCAATGTTGCATTGGATCATGTGTAATTTTCAGCCACAGCCGAGTTATCTGAGCACAGTCGCGTCGTAACCAGGGGTGAACACAGACATGCTCGGTGACTAATAAAGACGGGGGCCACCAATGGACCTTTTAAAGTTCTATATGATCAAGATGTGAAATTTCGGCCCCAGCAGAAACAAAGTGTACAGTCTTCAAGCGTTTTAAAATTCTCGAGTTGTTCTCCACTAATCGTAAAATAGACTTTAAATTTGACTCAGAATTTTTTTATGTTTTTGTTGTAATACTGTTTTTTTCAAATAATAAATCGAATGTAGGCATCTGTGGATTGAAGTTACTACATTCACAGTTGCTTTAAAGGTGGGTTTTTTTTACAAGAGTACGTTTTGCAAGAATGGAGTCGATATTTCTTTGCAGAGTAAGGTGTCGTTCGCCGAGCTTTCGGATAATAGTCTCTGTTGGTCCGTAATCAATCACACAAGTTCAATTTCCAACATGATTGTTAAGGGATGGAACTCATCCGAAATCATCTGGCTATAGCGCTCCCGAAGCAGAATAAGGACACATAAGGCTTGACGATGGTCCGTGATGTGTCGCCGCCGAGGCCGATCCGGGAAAGTACGAGTAGGGTGCGAACTGGAGCGGTTGAATCAAGCCAGGCATGGCCGCGTGGCGGTGGATGTGCCCCAACGAGTAGTAGGTGGGCGGGAACGGGAACCCGAAGCCCGGCGGCAGGACGGGCTTGGCCGCCATTTTGAGCTTCTCCAGCTCCGCCTCTTGGAGGCGCTTGGCCTTGGCCCGCCGGTTCTGGAACCAGATCTTGACCTGGGTCTCGGTGAGGTTGAGGGAGGCGGAGAACTCGGCCCGCTCGGCGATGGACAGGTACTGCTTCTGGCGGAACTTGCGCTCCAGCGACAGGAGCTGTGAGGTGGTGAAGGGCGTCCTCGGCTTCCGGTTGGTCTTGTGTTTGCGCAGCGTGCACTGTACTTTGGGGCCCGGCCCACCCGGCGGGGTCGCACCGTACGGTCGGCCGTCGTTGGTAACACCTGCATTGGATGGAGGGAAAGACCAGATACTGATAAGGCACGGGTGGCGAGAGAGATTGCTTATGGCGCGGGTTTCTGCGGCAGAAGAAAATGATACTCCTGTTGGTTTAGAGATGAGTGTCAGGGTGTCTCCCCCCAACGTCGCCAAGGGAGAGTCTGTGTTGGTGGGTTGACTTAACCCGATACGCCGTGGAGGAACCACCCCGTGACAAAACCAGGCCTCGTTCATGCAGCCGATGGAATTTCCTTATTCCAAGCATCGCCCGCTTATCGCCCCTGCGTCCGCGGGCTTGTTGTTGTGGGGGGCTGACAAATTACATCTCCGCGATTGGGTTCGCGAGTTTGGTTCTGCTGTTTACATTGCTCGCCCGAGCGGCTAATTGAGAACAGTGGCGGGAGACAAAGCATTCAGACATACATTACACGTGGTTGTTGTCCGCGAATTCTTTTTCCCCAACCCAAGCCCGCAGTACTGTCGTAAAGGACCATGTAACGATTTGAGCGGACCAGTTGAACCATCTGTAGTTACACTTCTATCTCCCCGTCGGTAATTTACAAGTCGCCGGACCGGCCTGGAATGAATCCTGCGGGACCCGGGAACACCCAGGGGAGGGCAAATAAAATGCTTGATTGAAACTCGGGAAAAAGGGGCAAACGTACGAGTACGGGCTACCAAGTGTTCACCATCGACAACCATACATATTGTATAATACACTGTATGTACTGTTCTGCTAGTCCCAACACGATGAACAGCAATAGCTACACCGCTGGCCCACATGTCTGCCCGAAAAGTCTGCCGCCAAATTGTCGGACCACAAATTTTGCACTCGATGCACTACTTTTCCATATTTGCAGGCTGCTAGTAAGTCATTACGACTTGGTTCTAGAAAAACAACTGTTACTGTAATTGAAAAGGAAGTGTTGAGAAGTCGTAAGTAACAACGAAAGCATTGCGAAATGCAGTCAAAAGGTCCTCAGGCAAGTTGTTTTAGTCGCCCGTTTTTCAGGCCAAGAAGAAGGGATCCATAAACAACACAATTCAACTGAGAATTTCAGAAATTAGTTTGGGGATGCATACATTGAACCAAAAATCTCCCGTCGTATATACTTCATGCATCGGTGTATGGTCCAGCTGGTGGTCGTAAATTTTACGAAGGGGGGGGGGCGGGGATGCTGCCGCAGACCTTCCGCTAACGACAAAAGATGGAACTTGGCAGAAAAACAAACTGTGACTTGTTAAGCGCACGTGGTCGGCTCGGAAAATTAAATTTCTCCACTCTGTGCCGTGCCCTCGATTACGCGTCAGAGATTAGACCCAGTTGTCACTTTGCCCCTCCTTAGTCCTTTGTTGAGTAAAAGTCCTAAAAATCCAAGATTTGGGACTACAATGAGCCAGACATCAGGACAAAGGAGTCTGGCAATGGGTATGAGGCACCTATAGTCTTTGGTTTTGTTCATACTGCGAGCTGCCTGTGTTTTTGTGTCCACCATCTATGGGTTTAATTGATCATAACACTGTAGTGTTGCTGCCAAAGCACTTAAACATGATGTGAAGTACCATTTCGTTTAGTCGTAGGGATGTAGTCGCGTCCAGTCACAAGCCATTCAAAATGATGAACTGTGACAAAGGATATGTCACTGTACATCTCGTTATTTGTGGCTGGTCTTTTGGCTGGACTTCTGACCGGACTCGTGATTTATTTGCCAAGAGCCTTACCAATTTTTGAAGGCAGATGTAAATTAGCTCCCATTTAAATAAAGTGTAATATTTCCAAAATATGTAACCATGCATTTGGAATAATGAACTAACCGTGATACACATGAACAGCGTAAGTACCCCATACAGGCAGTTTAGTCTACTAGCCAGAATATTATAGCCAGAATATTGGATAGAATATTGGCCTCCCTGATTCTTTTTTAGTCCAAAATGGTCTCCAGGAGTTAAAACGTATGTGCTGGTAAGCAGGGAGTTTGCTGGTAAGCAGGGTTTCCAATTCCCGGCAAGGAGTGATTCTGTCCTCCGCTCCAGGCCGCCCTTCCGTACCGTGACAGAGGTCGAGGATCACTCGTTACTCGAACCATAGAGCTACAAACCCGTAGCTCTATGCTCGAATAGTTCAGACACAAAGATAAAGGACGAAACATCACTGCCACCAATCTCAATTTTTTTCAGTCTACACTTTGACTTCAGGGAAACGACTGGCTACGCGACTAGGACCAGGGACTAATTACAGATTTTTTTTTCTCTGTGCCAACCCGAGTTATGTCCATACATTAAGTGCTCCCGAACGCCGCCACAGCGTTCCGGTCCGCGACATCGTTTTACTGTCTTCCCTCGGCTCTGGGCGAGCCGAAGAGTGTTCAGTGAGCAAAGCCATGACTTCCCGTCAGAGAAATTGCTGCTGCCAAGTTGGCCGCAATTTCCCGTACTCACAACAGCTGGGACGGGGAGGGACTGGGTCTGTTCCAGATCTCCAGTGGAATGCGGCCACGATCCGCTTGAACAACTCGCGTAACATGTCGAAGTCGGGTGACTGCGGCGGAGCGAGCCTGATGAGATCGATGCGAGCCGCGCCGGTGTAAATTTGGCGACTAAGCCGCGTGTCTGCTACCGGCACGAATTGTCCCCCACAACTGCAATAGAACGTGCTCCACCCTCACTTCTGAGTTCCTGTGCACGACCTGAACTTGGTTAATTTTTAAGACAATGACCAAGTGCTCAGCAGCAGTGATCAGGATTTGATTGCCAACCGAAGGAATAGTACTTATGATCATGTGCTTGATAATATGACAGAGATTTCAGGACAACATTGGGTCGTGTCCGAATTACTTGAGTTGACAGCGGCTTGAAATTACGCACGAGTCTACGGTAGTGACAGCAGCCCGTAGAGTCGTGTGTAACTTCAAGCCATAGCCAAGTGAATCGGGCCCGAACTTGAGGCGCAGGGCTCTGGGGCAGATAAAGCTGTCCTTTCTCTATGGCAGAACATCGGTGTGCTAAGCAAAAATGAGGTCGACACCAGTCATAGCTCATTATAAAGCACACGTTCGGCTAGTAACCACCTTTTTTTCAAGCAAAGACTTGCTTAGTAAAGAGCTCTGTGACATTGACCCGGTTCGCAGTATAGAAATGACGAAAAAAATAACACAAACAAGATTAGTTATTGTTGCAAAGGGTCTTGCAAGAGCGTTAGAGAGGATACAAGAGACAGGGCTAGGTTGGGGTTATGAAATGACAAAATGTATTAAGTACCGATAAGAAGATCACAGTTACTACAACTTTTTTGTACAAGATCCTGCTTTTAACAGGATAAATTCGAGACCCCAAGTCTTTGCATTCTTTGCTGTCCAATACCGATAACACAAGGGTCCCTGTCATAACAGAATGATGTGTGAAGTCCCAGTGGCCTTATTTCGAGGGTGGCCGATCGTATAGGCCAACCGACACTATTGAAATATACACTGTACTTTTCCAGCTCGGTGCGAAAAACACGTACATTGAATGATTTTCAGTGTCACCTGGTGACGCTGTACCAAATTGTTTGATGCAGCTGTATGAAGTTTTTTTCCCGAATTTGTGGGACAATTTCACTTTACTTACAACTTTCCGTGCGTCTAATCTGAACATCGCCCGAAACGGGAACGTGACACCGCCCTCTGTTGACAGAGTCTCGTTACGCTCGACTTCCGTTCAAAATGCTAACGCAGTATTAACGCGGTCGATCGAATGTGATTTACGGTCCTTTCAATAACTGTTTCAGCAATAATATTGCAGTTTTTATTGATACTCGAAATTCCAATTTCTTGGTGGTTGATCTAATTTACGTACTGGTGCATAGAACTGGAAAAAATGCGGGAAGTAGTGCCTTGCCAGTGATATTCTATTTAAAGAAAAAAATCTGAATGTGGGCTTGCAGTCTTTCACACGTTTTCAACGCGCTATCGAACCCGGACTTGCAGCATTAATTTGTATTCTCAAGTAGCACAACAATTTACAAATACCTGACCCCAAAATTAAGAGGCGTTGTGGATTTATTCAAGGTACGATCCTACCTTTATCCCTTTGAAACTGAGTGACAAACAACGAGTTTTAAGCAGTTTTTACGAGAATTCTGTTTTCACAAGTAATATTATCGGCGAAAATCAAAGAAAAACTACTTTGGGGTTACAGATTTGGATATGTTTTGAAGAAACTACTTATGTTCTGAGTCGGGAGATGAAAATATTGAGTACGTAAGTTGAGATTTTGAAATTCACTTTTTGGGGGACTGTTCATGAGTCTGTCCCATATTCTTTTCGGAATGAATAGCTAATTTGAAACTTAACTAAGTTTGTGAACTTTTGAAATAAAAAGCTTTCTTAAACAATGTTGGAGTTTGTGCTATCAGCAGGAATGCTTTCGTCACTTTTACCACAAACTCCAGATTTTCAGCCCCCAATTATCTGCCATGTCTACACGTAGATTAAGTCGATACAAATTGACTCGAATACTTAAGTATTGTGTTCATACTTTCCGACTACCAACAGCATTCATGGCCAATTGCAATGTCAGTCCATAAATCTTTCATTTCGTGCCTCCCACGTCTATATGATAGGTCTACCATGCACAACCATGGTGACTTTTTACCTTGCAATTTCTAATCCACAGTGGGAAAAGACAAACTAAACAGGGGTGTTCTTCCTTTTTTGAATCCGACATTAGTCCGGGAAAACAGGGGCAATGTAACCGGTACAAGCATTTAATACTGACTGACTGTCCCAAGAACACGCAAAAATATACCCCTCCAATCCCCGAACTTTACACGAAGCAAGAGCTTGTCATGTTGACAAGGTAATGGAGATAGGACTTGTTTTGCCCGCGTGTCTGTAACGACAAGAATTTACTGGTCAAAGAGGCAAATTTGGGGTGCTCTTGAAGAGCCCATGAACCCAAAACACGGTTGCTCTAGTGGAATTCGCAGTCGCACCAATGTCTATGACCTCCATTTAACGTCTTTACCACTCGACCAACGAATATTTGCTTCGCAGAACACCAGGCAAGAACTCACACTAAATTTCTCATCTTTATTCACGGTGATCTGGGCAAAACCACAAGGAGTAACTTACACCTCTGTCGAGAACACTCTCAGTCTCGAGACACATATGAGAAAGTATATACTTTGGAGCGAATTTAAGGTTATGGAAGTGTAGTGTTTAATGATAATTCCGCACAATAGTCCGTGTCATTGCCTCTATCTGACCAGCATTTACCGGATCATTTGCATGAAGATGGTTTTCACGTTTGTAACTACTGTCGAACTTGGAAGGACCTAAATGCTTGTCCAGTTTTGGAAGAATCAAGTGAATGACATGAAGCTCATAATGTCAAAGATCTTCAACCAAATGAGCCCAACCATTTAGTCCACGTCTTCTTTTTTCCCAAAACAACGTTTCGAGGGCGAGACTATATTTTTAGCGTAAAATCTAGATCATTTTATGCACGCATGCATGCATTTCAGATCCAAACAAAACGGCACCAGAACATTAATTTGGCCATGTCGGCTGACCAAAACAGGGTGACTCAGTCAATGGCATTTTGCCCGCAAACTCGACGACGATAATTACTGTAACAAAAACGGTGGTATTCTAAGTGCCATGAGTCATAACATATAATTATTTCTAAAGGCTGAATGTTCAACATTAGCCGTTGACTGGAACGCTGAGGACGAAACCCTGTCAGAGTCGGTTACACTGATTGCATATCCACAAACCAGGTGGGATTCCAACTATCTGAATACTTCAAATTTTCTCGTGACTGACCGACGTGTGTTCAATTTGGTCGATTCTCCAAGCAAAATTGTTATTTGCTATGCCAGCCCGCACCTCTGAAATTTTTGAAGGAGTTACGGTATTTAAGTTGTCTTAAAAACTAGGACATTCACACAATGATATACACGACTTAACGGGATACCCTCTCTACAACTTACAAGTACAATTACTCTTGCAAGAGACAGTACGTAACTTACTGAGCGAATTGGGCGATAGCTGGGCTCCCTGCATCCACGGAAAACTCGAACTGCCCCAAGTGTACGTCTTGCTCGTTGGGGATAAATCGCCGGGTCTAGGGTGATGGTGATTGTGGTGGTGGTGGGGGTGTTGTTGTTGTTGGTGGTGGTGCTTAAGAGGGTTGTTGGTATTGTGCGAGACGTGGGGCGGTTTGGACGCCAGGATGCCTTCCACGGTGTATGTGAAGGAGGGGCTCGAGGCACAACACGGGGACGTGGCAGGCTTGGACGGAGTGGGACTACTGGCGACGCAGCTCGAATCGATATGGTCCCTGACTGCGCCCGCACCGCCCCGGTCCACCTCAGTGGCCGCGTACGGTGCGGGATCCTCGTGCTTAACGCCGACAAGGGACTCCACGCGGAACGACAGGTTCTCCCGTCCTGGGTCTGCGGGCACTTTCTCGGGGCTGGTCGGCGTGCTGCCCGCTGTCGGCGAGGCGTTGTACTCCGGCCTCGAGAACGCCGAGTTGATACTCACCGTAAGAGTCTTGTTGCTGCTCGACATTTTCGTTTAGAAAAAGGCAAAACGACTGGCGAAATCAGTGGAGACGATCTCTTCTGCGCCCGCAGTTTCCCCTTTATTCTGTCTCAAATAAACTGCTTTAGTTTAAACTTTCAAGACTCTCTAAAACTCCAAGGAGGGTGATATACCGGAAGGCGTGTGGAGGTAGAAAAATGTTTCGTCGGTTCCATCCACGCGGTTCACCGTCATGTCAAGAAGTGTGCGTATCGGTGGCGAGTGAAACGCTCAATAAGCATCCGATCCGACCACGAGAGTTCAAGTCATCTGTCAGTGGGAAATTGCAGTGGGAGAATCTGAGTGCCGCCTTCGGCCTGCTTTTTTCTCCTCTCTTTCTTTCCCCCCTCTCACTCACTGAGGTCCGGCCCTGCCCAATCAAAGTTGGCTACCTCGATGACGCAGCCCCAGTAAACGCGACCAGCGGTCTCCCTGGAGCGCTGTGTGACTCTCTCCAATAACTCTTCCGCGGCCCGAGAAAAACACACTGTTGCACTGCGCTATCCCCTCGACGGCTGGATAATAAATAATAACTATAATACGATAAATTTAGTCGGCGGCGTCCAATTTCATTTGGTATGCGTGTGTTTTGGCATGGGGCCCCAGACCTAATAGAATTCATACACTGTATCTACGGGACCATCTAAATGCAATTACGCAGTGTACATTGGAGTAATGGGCCGCGGTAGCTCTCCCTTTCAACTGCGACTGTTGGAGCCTTCGACACTAAAAGGACCGCTCTTGGAATGAGTGGGAAAAAAAGTTTTTAAGATTTTTTTTTTCCATTTCGGTGGCTTTAAAGAGGCTCGGCAGACTGGAACAGCCCATGAATGCCCTCGTAAAATTTTTATTCATGAAGATCAAAAAAGTCATTTGCAGTCTGAACACTCCCCCACGAGCGATCAATTACCAGGAGACCAAGCCTGGGCTAATTGCGCGGACAAACAATCTGTCACTATTTGTCACGGCATTCAAGCAGCAGACAACTTATGTTGTGTGTAGGCGCCAGGCCCGGCGCGATCAAAGGGCTGCTCCGCGGCTACCAATATGAAACAGTTCCCTGGGTGAAGAATGGCGAGAATATTAACCCGAGTCCCCCCATTCACCGGCCGTGCCGCTTCTGTGGCCCAAGGTCCCACGGGGAGGGGGGGGGAGTGGAACAAACCCGGATTAAGCTAATCTCTGCCTCGCTGCCATGCGCTCCGTGCACAGCGCCCCCCCCCCATGTCTCCCCTCCTGCCTGTGCGGGTTTTCGTCAGGGTTTGACTTCGACTACCGCATGAAAAAAGATCTACCACACTACCTCCCAATCGACAAGGTAACCCACAAAACTTAAAACCAGCTCGCGCTCTACGCGGCCCACGCACGCTGTCCGCCGGTGCGTAAAGTTCTCTTGTTTGGAGAGTAAATAAATTAAACAACGGGAGGTCACGTGGCGCAAGGATTGGCTTTTGGTCGGTGGAAAAAAAAAGGTAAAAAAAATGAAGTTGTTCTTGGTATTGGGCCGTTTAACAAAAGGTGCTGGCCCAGCGTGAATGGCGTGGCGGCGACTCGCAGTATCAGGTTTCTCAAAGGGGGACGAAGATTTGCCGCCTTCCACTCGTGCTGTTTTGCTTGCTCCATTTTATACTGCCGTAATTCGCTCCCAGGCCTTTTGTGAAAAGTGATTGGATTTAATTAGGAGGCATAAATAGCCTAGCCGTTCCCACTCGTCGTTGTTCCAAGATTCCCAAGTGAGGTTTCCTCCACACTACCACACATTACATTTTGCAATCACATGCACAAATATTGAAAATGGTTTGTAGGGAGAAAAAAACTCACATGCATTAAAAAGTCATACTGAGTGGTTTCTGATGATTTCCAAAGCAATCTAATAAACTTGTCAGGAGCGTTGCGCAGACGGCATAAATCGTTCTGGGGGAAAGCTGTTCGCTGAATTGGAGAAGTCATTTGGGTTTTGCGCGGGCAGACAGGCAGACGACCGATTGTTGCGCGGCGGAGCGGGGTCGGGACCCCTTAATCTACGCCGGGGAAAGGGATGACGAGTTAAACGGGCGAGAAGTGACACTGTGGGGGAAATGTGGCCACGAGCCGCTGAGCTGAGACGGCCCGGCTCCGGAGTTTCATGGACGGTACAATTAGGTGATAATGATTCCCAATTCTTATTAAATTAACCGGATCGTTGGGAAGTTCAAACTAGTTAAGCGGTTTGTCCCCGGTTCCCAGTTCCGATTCAAGACGCGAGCTGCTTCCAGGCAAGGAGGAGAGTGGAAATCCATCTGCCGTTAAAGCGAACTTCTCAATAGCCTTGGTACTACTAGTCAGTTAAATGTGGTTTCACACAAGGTGTTTCATGTGAAAAGAAGTGGTCATTTCCCCCCCCTTTTTTGGGGGGGGGTGAAATAGACGGCCGATTGTATATGGCTGGCCTAGGATTTTATGCGTCGAATCTCGAATCTTTGTCGTGAGAGGTGAAGAACCAGTCCCAGTCCGGACAAGTGACCGACGTTGCCCCGGCCTCGTCCTTAGAGGACTATGAGGCAAACAGACGGTACACTGAGCCGATGGGGCGCACTCTTCACAGAAGACCTCACTCGTAAACGTAATGACGCTAGACAGATAAAAAGAGAGTAACAGAAAAGACAGATACTCTACGCCAGTGTCGAAACGTCTGGTTACTGTTAACTCGTGTAATCACTTTTTCTCCTACGGATCATTGCGGCGCCCTCCTCTTCCCTTGCCTTAATGCTCGCGTCCTTGGCTACCGCAAAAAAGAGAGGGGGGGGGGGAAGGCCGATACCCCATCAAAGAAAATGGTCTGCCAAATTATAGGATTAAATGGAACCTCTACACACGTCTTGAGAGGAGTGTTTAAGACTTGTATCGGCAGTGTGATGGCTTCTGTAATAACGGGCCATTCTTTCGTGTTGATAACAGATAACCATTGCAAACCCATTTGTTCCCTCGCTGAACCTTTTCAATGGCAATTAAAACGATACCGTTGTGGCTGTGTTCTGCGGCGGCAGCTTATCGTGAGGACCCGAGTGTACTCAGCCACTTTCTTTTATCGCAGACTTTTTTTTCCACCCTTTGGTCTCGGCACTTCCAATAAAGATTTGCCTTAACTGAGCCTCCGATAAGGCGAGCCACGGACCGTACCAGGTTGCTCTCTTGTGCATGCCCCGGAGGAGCGGCGCGCTGAGCCCGGCTGCGGAACCAGCGTGCGACCGATTGCTTGCGGCGGCTCGGCGGAGATTGAAACTGTTGCAAAAGTCTCACGGGGTCACGGCGGTCTCGAAATTCGTTAAATCGACAGAGAGATTAATCGGGGCTCGTGCATGGCCTGGGCCGCCGCCACCATCACCACCGGGCTGCTTTTGTTCCAGGCAGTGCCCAGCCGTGGAGCCGACCGCACCGAGACCAAAACATGGAGAGAAAAAAGAGAGAGACGGACAGCACCTCTTGCCGAGCTTGGAGAGGGCTCATGGCGAAACTCGAGCGTTGAACCTGCAGTGCGGCGGGCCTCGATGTTGGGAGGAAAAGTCACGAAACTACACGTTGACTGAGACCTATACAGAAGCTTTCACATGCTGCACAGGACCAGATTGGGCATTTGCTTGGCCCCTGCTATTCTTGTGTTGAACTCACACGTCACTGAAACCAGCCAAGATACTGTTTGCTCCTGTTGCTCAAACTGCAAATGTTAAAGGAAATAACCATCCCCATTTTTTGTAAAAAAAAAAGAAGAAAAAAAAAGAGGCTTATGAACGTTGGTGGTGTACTGACAGCCCCGCCAAGGTTAGCTGACGAACTTTGAATGGTAATGAACTTGACTTCTTAACACTTCGGAATTGACAGAAGATTGTCACACTCGGAGTTCTGATAATCCTTGGAGAGTTTTTCCCGCATGCTCCCCAGAAGGATTACTCTTCCAAAAGGTTCTAAAAATATGAGCCCTTTCTGGGTACAAAAACAATTCCAAAGATACGGTAGAATTATTTGTATTATCTTAAAGGTAGATTCGTCTGTTGTAGCGTGTTGATACACGTGCATGACCCAACACAGTTACCTCTCCTGTCATCTGTCACAGTCCACTTGCCTACCTCATTCAATCTCTCCTGTTCATCCATCACTCGGTCCTCTGTTGTGTCTAGAAATGGTTGCCACAGTGGATTTCGCGTGTAAGTCTTCAAGAACATTTTTGACCTGCCCACATCCCTGTCTTTATCCTCACCTTTTCCCGGGAAGCTGGTAAGTTGGTCGGGGCTGCCCGTAGGTTTTGTCTTCTCAGTGAGAAAATAGGAGCTGTCCCTGTCTTTGCCTCGGAGATAAGAAGAACGAAAATAAACACAGACCCCCACCAGCAACCGTCCCCCCCCAAAAAAAAAGGATAAACAAATAGAGGAGTGCATGGAGTTTTTTTTTAAGCAAGCATATTTTGGCGCTCTCGGTGCTGACGAAATGCGGATATGAATATAGGGTAAGAATCGGGTAAGAACCCACTAAGCCTTCGGTTTCAGTTCCAAACGATTGCATCCTCTGCTTTATCCTGGGTTTGGAAAGAGTTAAGCTTGGAAACTGCTCGGTTTGACTTCCAGTCTTTCGGACGATATCAGTTCTTGATCTATCAGAAACCTTGCTCCGGAGGAGCTCGGGTTGACACTCCGCCAGGTATTGTTACGAAAGCCTACTTTGGCATGAACCATTATGCTATATGACTCCACGTTCTCCTCGTATCAACCCTCAAATGACCTGGAGCAGACTTTCCTGCGATATCGTCGCAATGCGTTCTTGCTGTGCTGTGCTGAGCCTTCAACTTTTTTCCAGTGACGTCTTAACAATAATTTCGACACCAATTTTATAAAAATCGGAGGCACAGTTCTTGCGATGTGCCAAGTTTTCCGAGACAGGCCAGCTTTGACGTACTCAGAGCATGGATACGGGTCAACACGCCTGAGCCCATGAAATGTAAATGACCACACCAAAAAACTCAATTAAAACTTCCTATGTATATTTAGGTTGAATATTAGTACATGCTTGTCAAGTTTCAGTAGGATAAAGTACGGGACAGCCGAGATCGTACGGGCCCCGGCTGTTTTAGATGGCTCAGAAAAGCCCAGCTCTCCTAGGATTAAATTTGCACCGCATGAAGGTAAAAATTACCAAGAACTATTTTCGTCCATGCCAAGATTCAAAGTCTTCGATAAAGCGTTTAAATAACAATAAAATTATTCTGATTAGTTCCTCCTCGTCACCAGCCCGTGTAAACGTCTTTGGAGGACTCACAATCACAGTAATGAGTTCTCAACCAATACTAACCACTCCATCTTTAAGGTTCATGGCATAAATTTTACTTGGGAACATTATTTTATGCAACTTTCAACCCCTCGTAACCGTTTGTCTAATGTTAAGCATTCTGTTCGGGGGGTAGTCTCTTCGAACAGAGCACCTGGTAAACCATCAAAACATTTCCATACCTCTCCTGACGACTGACGGTGCTGTTGCAGTGATGTCAGTGAAAGAGGACACTGCTTATTTTAGGGGCTTTCTGTTTAAGTTTGCAACTCGAAAATTGCTCAATCCATTGGAACTACTCTTAAGAAAGCAGCTCTGTGATCAATTTTATAGTGTATTGAAACAACCGTGAATAACCAAAGGAAACGATACAAGAGGGCAAACTAGTTGGCCTGATGGTGACTCTTTGCATTGGA